AGTAGTTATTTTCCTGATGTAGTAGTTATTTTCCTGGTATATCTTGCACGGAAGTTTGTGTTAAAATAGTAATCTATTTATAAATTTCTGCTCTTAGCCATAGAACTCAACAACTACTTTCCTTTTTTTGATTTAAATAACTTCAGCATAAAGGTTCTAACAAATTTCATGCCTCTATTCCCATCAGCTTCAGTTGCAACGATTCATGTCTATTGGATGCTGGCATAGGCAGTTGCTAAGTTCTAGCTTGCAGTTTGTAGATATCTACACATATAATCCCTTAAAACGTGTGTGCAAGGTGGAGTTAGACATGTAGTTAAATATATTTTTTTGGAATATTTATACCCAAAATGATCTATTTATGATAGTTTAATCAATGGTAGAAAATGAACTGATAATATTGGTAAATAAAATTTAGCGTTGAAAGAATAAGTAGAGGTCTCTATCTTTTTAACCTGTTATTTCATCCTTTTTTTAGGTTTCATGATACTCACTATTAGGTTGAGGTCTCTATCTTTTTTGTACTGTTATGATAGGGATGAAGTGGTTGTAAAATATCTAATGAGTAGACATTGCAGTTTTGTTGAGAATATTACAACTTTTGGTGCCAGATTGTTCATTTAACTAAAAAAATATGCAAATCAACTTTTTACAAAACACACAAACCAAACAGCTAAATAGCTTATCTAAAATAGAGGCAGAATGATCATTTATCTAGAATCTGCTGTTTTTCAAGCACACAAACCAAACAGTCAGACAACTTATTTGAATCAGCTGCTTATCAGCAGCTTATCAGAATAAGTAGCTTATCTGAATAAGTTGGATAAGCTATTGCTGCCCCAAACAGACCCTAAATTATAAGATAAATGTCCGCTTTATTTTCCATACTGTACGCATTCTAGAGAATCATCAAAACTGAATATCACTTAATTAATTTATTTTGTTATTTAAAGGCTAATAATTCATCTCTTTACTTGCACTTATCATCTCATCTATGTATTGTGGGTGTGGATTTTCTTTCATATGAGAAAAGTGTATTCGCCTGTTTGGTTATGAAGTAAAAATTTAACCCAATTCGGAGAGGCATCTTAAACTAGGTTTATCTTCCTTCTGTTGTGCAAAAGTTTGGACCTATGGAATTTCCAAAGTATTTTATGAAGCTTCACATTGTCATGCCATTCTGACGCTGAGTCAGTATGCCTTATCATTTATCAAGTTCGGATATTAAATTTGAATTTACATGGTCTCAAACAACTTATCTAAAATCATGCAGAAGCCTATCTACAGTATCATCAGGTCATGATTTGATCTCTAGGAAAGGATCACACAAAGATGATAAATGGCATTCGGATTTACTTGGCTGCTGTTCAGAGCCTTATTTGTGTAAGTTATATGGATCCGCTTCTCTTTGATGTGCGGATGAATTTCTAATTTTTCATGTGTTTTACATTGTAACTAATTTTTTTTTTTTTTAAAGTTTGGCTTTTTTTTTTCATATTTTACTACCTGTTTTCATTAATGTTATTAAACTTCTCATTTCTGTAGACATATTTACTACAGTACCAACAATAAATGTCTAAATAATCTATCATGTCTGTTATTGATTGAGACAAATCTCTGATATATAGTTATTTGATTTTCAAGTCAGCAACTGAAGTACTTAAAATTAAACAATTTGACCTTCTTTGAGCAAGGACAAGCCATATACAAAACTGTAAATATATATTCATTATTTCAGCAGTTTTTCATTCAATACAGAACTGTTTGTGTAACCTGTTAATGGAAGGTTGATGCTTGCCTTCTACTGATTGATTCTCTTTCTCTTGTAATTAAAATGACACTGAAGTGGTTCGGTAGTCCATAGTAATGTTTGTTCAATCTTAACTATTTTGAATTTTATTTTTTTTTATCGAGGAAATATTGTAAAGTTATTGCAAATATATGATCAGAACTAAAAATTTTGATTATTAAAACACCAAATTGCATTAATAAATTTAAATGTTAAAGTTTTTATTGCATGGCCATGCACAATCCTTGTCCTTATTAATATTTTCACTTAATTGAAAATGTGTCTTTTTGTGAAGGTATTTAGTGTTATCACTCTGGGATAAAAACACAATGCCCCTTTGATGGTGATGATCACAGAGCACCCGTCTCATTTCTTGTGTAAATTAATGTAACATTTGTCTTCTTATGCTTAGTGCTTATCTTGTGCCACAAAAAAGTGGTGAAGCTCTTGATATCATACAAGTGCAGTTTAATGAAACAACACTCGCTAAAGCTTGCATCTTCAGATTTGCTCTGGACCAATCTCATTATTTTCCTTCTATTCCCAACTTGAACTGCTTATTATAGAGTATAGACTAAAGGGCAGAAGTTGAGCTCAATAAATCGTTGGTGAAACCCTTAGTAAATCCAAAAGCTTAAGCATATGGGCGATGAAATCACTTTTTTATTCTACTAATATATATTTTTTTACTTATTTATGAATAAACCATTCTTCTTGTGTATGTGCCTTAACAAATATAACCATCATATGACACGTAAGTGGAAAACATCCCTTCATTATGACATATATTTAGAATAAATTTAGTTAAGAATCCATTGATCATTGCATTTAAGTCCAATAATTATTGAGCATATGTTACTATAATCTATATCTAATGAATTTGTTGTTATATTAACATCTACATGTCCTTACGATTGCCATCCACCTAGTGCTCCTTCCTCTTTGAGGCATGGCAATTTCTTTTAATGTTTCTTTTTATAATAGATGCTTGCTGATTGGCATCTATTCTGACTAAAGGTATACACTTCTCAAAAGATATCTCTTGACCAACAATCTATCTGCCTATTTCTCTTCTTTTGATAAAAGTGAATTCTTAATGATTTTCTGCTAACTGTATGTCTTTTACAATAATATTATTCGTTGTAAAAGGGAGATAAAGAGCACATTAATAACAAAGTTTATCTATTATGATCCAATGGAAGAGCTTGGAATATTTGGTCGTGAACAAATGATTAGATGGAATTCTTAAACTCTTATAAATTTTTAAATAAACAATTTACTGTGAACTTTTTTGCAAAATTAATTTCCAATATATCACAAAACAGCTAGTTCAATAAGTTTATTATGGGCTCTGAAAATTCATTACAGGTTAAATTTTCAGAAGGCAGACATTTATTCAGATAAAAACATAACCTAAAGATTTCATCCTCATTTTGTGTGGTTTTATGATCTGGGGTTTGAGGTTTTGCATATGCACATGCTCCTATATTTAATTACCCCTCCAGATAATAGAACACTTTCTATTATGGCTAGTCATTAGGTGTTCAAGTATTTTGACTCAACATATAGTTGCAACAAACGTAAATTTTAGATTGAGAGCTTTGTATTATTCCGAGTTGAGTTTTTGAAGGCTGACTAGATATTTAGTTAAAACATTTTCTAAAGATTTCATCCTCATTCTTTGAGGATTTTAAAATTTGGGGTTCGAGATTTCTTATAGGCACACACCACTGTGGTTAATTATCTCACTAGATAACATGAGTGTACTTTCGGTTATGACTAGTCATTAGGTGTTATGTTTTTTATTTAACATATAATAACAACAAACATAAATTTCATATTATAAAATTTATCACAGTCAGCTTAAAGCGAATACTGGGGAAATAATGATGAATCAGATCAAAATCTCATTGTTCTGTCGTTGCTAGTCATCATGGTCCATAGTTTATTTAATCAGAGGTGGTAGTCAACCCAACCCGACTGAATGATTTTTTATCAGTAATCTTGGGTTGTGTCAATTTCGGCAAACCTGTAGGCATGAGGTGGATGTTTGTCTAAGAAAGCATTTTTAATTTAATCTTTTCTAACATACGTTTTTATATTAACCAGATGTACCCTTATAAATCACATTTCAAAGAGTATGAAGTTGTTTCAGTAGTCACCTATTCTTAAAACTTAAATCTCACTGGCCTCAGAGCTTTGTTTGATAGGTTATGCGTCTGAATTGATGACTAATCTGTTAACAACATTTTAGAGGATAAGCCATGATAGCATATAATTAGAGAGTAATTCTTGAAGTCAAAGAATAGTGCTTTTATTTATATGAATTTCTTAAGAAAGGTGTGCACCAATAAAGGATAGGCGCGGAGCTTTCTCAGTTCTCGAATTAATTTCTTTCAGATCATCCATTGTAATGTCCGCCAGCTTCCAATTCTTTTGGAGCGGGATTAACTTTTGCATCATGATCACTCACATGATTGAATTTGTGTAAATTTTCTTCAACTTCATCCTTGATATCATTCTCTTTCTCTGTTATTGCATAATAGATCGCCCTTTTAGTGTTCTTATTTTAGACAGATTCCAGACCTTCAATTGTATACTTATCACCACCACTCAATGCCCGTGATTTTTTTTAATTTCAAATCTTTTCAAAATATTTGACCCATTGTTTAGTGACCACATCATAAACTCGTAACTTTCACATCATTTTTTAGATCCTTAGAGATTAATATCCCGACATTCTTGTAGGCACCATTTCTTCAGATCCCAGGTATTGAATGGGCCAGTCCAAACCTTGACATTGATATTCTTCAGGCTTGTATAATAAAATTCTTAGTGTGCTCGTCTAGGAGGCACATCAATTTTTTTTAACCCTTCAGCGATATAAATTATTAAGAGTGACTTCATAAAATATTAAGGAGATGGTAGCATAAGCATGAATTAGTGTATATGGATACTAACAAATCAATCATTCTCCTTGAAGAGACCTGAGACTCATTGAGCTTTGCTTTTTATAAGTTGATTCAGAATCATAATATACATCAACATAGCCAATTTTATTTTTCCTTTTTGTTGAACTCACATATTTCCTTAGGTTGAGTAAGAGTGTAATCATCTTTTTTCCATATCACTCCTTAAGTGAGAAATGATCCTCTTCAACTTAGGTGGAACATAAATCAATTCAGGGTAAGTCAATATTGTCTTCCATCATCCTTTTTGTTTCTATTTTTTCCCTTGTGTTTTTCAATACTCTTATTGATTGACGCGGCATTTTCTTGGGGTTGTGATGGTTTTGGTTTTTCTAGAATAAAGTACATTGTGTCTTCATAAATTTTGGTTTCATGAATGATAAATGATTGTATCTTGCCATAAATTTTTATTTCATTTGTGTCCCTTAGATGCTTCATGCATTAATGCATAATACTAGTATTCACGAATCTGCTGTTATCCGAGGAGAGTCTAAATGACGTATTGGTATCAATCACATAAAACTTAGCCTCCACATACAATTTTTCAAAATTGAGTAAAAAGATGAATGATCTCAAAGTCTTCTGTCCTTTCTTATTAAAATCATAAACCATCAATTTCTCTCAAATGTTGATATCATGGCACAACCGCCTTTGTGCTCTCTAACTCATAAAGTTTACTAAAGAACATGGACCAGTAAAAAATTGATTTATCATCATGTCATCGCTCGTTGCTGTAACATATGAGGAACGATTATATCTGAAGTCTTGAATATGAGATCATCATTTGAAAATATAATGGTTTGAAGGTTTTGAGCTTATGAAATTTGCATCATGCACTGTTCAATAAAAGAAAAGGCTTGTATTTCTCTAGATCTTTGAGAGCCTATATAAAAATTTCTCAAAAAATCTTTTGACATCAATTGAGTCTCATATACACTAAGTTCAAGAATTTTTCTCAGATGTAACGAGATATTATATTCAATAGGTCTGTTTGAGGTTGGATTTTCTTTTAGTTTTTAAGAAGAATATCTTCGTTAACCACACTCTATTCCTTTGTCTTTTTTAACGGGCCCTTTTTTGTTGGTGGATGTAATAGCTCGCCACTTCTCAATTGAAGTTCAACAACTTTATTGATTCTAAATATTATGTTGGGGTACTTTCTTCATAAGTTTCTCTTGCCATCTCAAATGACGGGAAATTTCAGATTCACTTTCTAGCTCCGTCGCTCAGTTTTTGATAAAGGTTCACTTGAATTGTGAAAGCACAATTCTCTTGAACTATTATCGTACTGTAGCACCATTAGATGGGACACAGAGATCCCTTAGATTTGAAATGATATTTAGGGAACAATGCTGTCATTGAGTTTGCTCAACATGTTTTAACAGGGAGTGATTATTCCTGTTTTTCGTTTGACCCGATAATATGAACTTTCTGCACGAATTTTGTAAACCTAAAAGTTTGTCTCACCTATTGAAAATAATCCTCCACTTTCAATAATTATGTGTGGTAAGTCTTCTTCTTATGTTTCTTATCTTTGATTTGGTTAGATACCTTTGAAGACATTTGTATATAGTGCTTCTTACATTGGGATTAGCTGACATGGTTAGAGTGCTTTTGAGTCGATAGAACAAGGCTGATGTACTTGACATCTATCTTCTTCTTAGTTTTCCACTTGACTCCAAGGATGTCTTTCAATTGTTTTAACATTATGAGTCATCTTTGATATTTTACTTTCCCATTTTTTATCTTGTTTTGACTTATCTTTTATTTCTTCTCTATTTGGGAGCACTGGAGAGAACATGATTGCCTTTGTTAATTCTTTTTTGGGCTAACAAGAACACTGTTAGACTATAAAATTTTCATTTCTATATTTAACTCAAGTAAAGTAAAAAATTTTGCTTTTAATGATCTTTGTAATAGATTAGATACTAAGGAGGGTGAAAAATATATGTATAAACTAGCCAAACAAAGAGAAAAGAAAAGTAAAGATTTAACTCAAGTAAAGTGTATTAAAGATGAAAATCAAAAAGTACTTTTTCTAGAAAAAGATAATCAACATAGGTGGGTGAGTTACTTTGATAAATTTTTTAATGAAGTTTCTGAAAATACGATCGACCTTAGTGATCTTAATATCGTGAATAATAATAAAACGTTTCATTTTTTCCATCGCATTAGTAAATAAGAAGTTGAGAGATAATAAGGAGAATCTTCATTTGATTTTTATTGATTTAGAAAAAGCTTACGATACGGTTCCAAGAGATCCTTTGGAGAGTTCTCGAGAAGAAATGTGTTGATATGACTTATATTCAAGTCATTAAAGATATGTATACTAGAGGTGTTACTTGTGTTCAAATTGAAGGAGGATTGACAAAATATATTTCTATTTCTCTTGGATTACATCAGGGATCAGCTTTAAGCCCATATCTTTTTGCTTTAGTTATGGATGGTCTTACTGGACATCTATAGGAGGATGTACCTTGCTATATGCTTTTTGCTGATGATATCCTTCTCGTGCATAAAACGAGAGAAAAAGCCCAGGAAAAACTTGAATTATGGAGATCTACATTGGAGTCTAAAGACCTTCGTTTAAGTAGAACTAAAACTGAATGCATGAAATGTAATTTTAGTAGCAATAGCTCTAGTGACAGAAGTGTGACTTTGGGTGATCAAATTATTAAAAGGTGTGAACGATTTAGATATTTTAGATATGGGGATGTTAATAGTAGAATTCAAGTTAGTTGGTTGAAGTGGAGGAATGCTTCTGGCCTTTTGTGTGATAGAAAAGTAACGCTTAGACTGAAAGGAAAATTTTATAAAACGGTGGATGAGTGGCTTTACACTTAGAGACAAAATGTAAAATGAATATATTCATGATAGGGTTGGTGTAGCTCCTGTGACGGACAAAATTAGAGAAATTTGTCTTACATGGTTTGGTCACATTAAACGTCGACCATCTGATGATCCGGTTAGGAGAGTAGATGTTTTAGATTCGACTTTTGTTAAGAAAGGTAGAGGTAGACCTAGGAAGACTTGGACTTATTGTATTAAAAATGATCTTAATTTACTAGAACTAAATGAAAATATGACACTAAATAGGACGCAATGGAGAAAAAAGATTCAAGTAGCCGACCCCACGTAGTGGGATTAAGGCTTTGTTGTTGTTGTAAACCTTAGTTGCTATGGCATTGTTGCTACTATAGCATTGGTGTGACTAGGTAAAGATGGAAAGCGAAATCATCTATGGCATAATAGCTAAATATTTGTGTTCTCCGAAAATTCACTCCCCATATTTTGTTGGGAGTTTGTATTATTACTGGCTAAATTTCTCAGAAGACAGATTAGATAATAAATAAGATATTACCCAAAGATTTTATTCTCTCTTAGTTATGATCCTTGTCATGGTTATAGCTCATTTATTTTTCATTGACTTTCTGTTTTTTTGAATTATAATTCTTAAGGGTACATTTGATTTGTTCAAAGTTTTTTTTAGTTAAAATCAATTTAGATTTATTCCGTTAGATAATTATTCACTCTAAGTTTATAAGGTCTCAATGAATGAAAAAAGTTATGATTGTTGCCAAGGGTTTTTCAAACTGCCTCATGTGACTAAGTATAAGAGGGTCCGTAATAGTTAGGGATGACAAAATCATGTGATCTTAATTGAGTTCATCATCATTCTACTCGACATTTGCTCTATATTCTCTATTTAAAATTTATAATTAAAAATTTAATTCTATTGCTATTATTTAATAAGTTTAAACAATTAACTTGTACTGACTAGTCTTAATCAAAAGTGCTCTCTTGTTAAAGAAGGGTAGTTAGAGGTTTGTGCCTTTGGGAAACCTCAAAACCAAATATTAAATTGCTCACAAAATGAGGGTGTTACATTAGAGTACTGTCTTATCTTCAATCTTAACCAGTCTTTTAAATTTTGACTTAGAACTTGCATAAAACTCTCATTCATTGAGGGTCCGGGGCACAAATTTTTGAAGCCCAAAAAATGTTTAGTGCATTTATTATGAAGGTAAGGAGAAAATGTATTTCAACCATAATAACCATTAATCTGGTTACCTTGACAGTGAATTCCTTCGTCATCTTTAAGGAAAATCCTTTGAAGCTAATTGATTATGAGTATGAGATTGAGGAGTAGAGAGTTTAGTGACATGAATAAATCTACAGAGCGGTCATAAAATTAGGCGCAGTTGAGTCAATCAATATATAAAATTGTACACTTCGCAGAGAAGGATGTAGATTGAAGATAAATTTGACTACCCGAGACTATATTTTATTTGTAATAAATAGTGGTATTCATCATGAAAGGGAGGTGTTGAAAAAATTATTAATGCATCTAGGGTTGTCAGAAAGGATCGTTGTTCAAGAACAACTCGTGTTCAACTTACTAAGTAGCTTGTGTTTGATTCGTTCGTTAAGTAAACGAGTCAAACACAAACATATTTTTTGAGCTTGATTTATAAACAGGCCGATCACGAACAAAGTTTGTTCGTTCGTGTTTGTTCGATTTAGCTCGAATTAATTAAATATTAAATAATAATACATAAAAATTAAATATAAAAAACAAAGCTTAGATGCTAATATGTAAATACATAAGATGCCAGTAAATTCTTTTCAGATTGCATTCCCGCCGTGGTCCCGCACATTCATATAGGGTCTTGCCTGGCTAATTGTCATAAGAATTGGGTGTTATGTTTGTAAATGGCATTAGAAATTAAAATTAAATCCTGCTTTGTCTTGCATCAGAAGATCGGCTTCGCCCATTGTCGTTTAAATGTTAAATGGAGTTCAATTGTTTGAAGTATTTAGCTGCACAGTGCTTGGGCTGTATTGAATGTTGGCTTTTTCGGTGTATTTTCGAACATACAATCTAAGTTTGGCTAATTGAACTCAGTTCGAGCCAAACACTATTTTTTTATTCATGAGCATAATTGAACAAGAGTCGAAGAGGAGCTGAATAAATTTGAAATGAGCCGAATCACACAGATGTTAGGCTTGCTTCAGTTTGACTCGTTTACACCCCTATATACATCATAGAGTGTTATGGTATCCTTGAAATTGCTACCTTTTTCTTTTCTAGATAGAAGATTTTAGTGTAAATGTTGTAAACACAAGAAGCATCAATCTCCTAAAAATATGCAGAATGAAGAAAGTCTTACATTTTCTTGGCTAAATATATCTTAAAACATGATGGTCAAGTCAATTGAAAGAGTAATATATTTGAAGTAGCCGAGCAAATCATTGCAATGAAATTTGGGATGTGCAATCAGAGTGGACGAGCAAATCTAAAACAACTTGAGAGCAGGGTAGATAGCTGGGAATTAAACCAATGCTAGTTAAGGGTGGGCGAGGTGAAGTGATTGAGGGCTTTGATATTGGTGAAGTAGAGAGGCATATAGATTTGGGGAGAGTCTAAAATCTCACTCATGAGATTGGTAATTTGAAAGGCTATTTTATTGTAACAAACCCATTTATTTTCAGCAGAAAGCATGCTAGGGATTTGCTTTTCCACATGCCAAGCCAAAAATTTTGAAAAACCTGAATGGTTTCGTGGAATGTGATATAGTCTGGACTTTTTCAGGTCTCCTGCTTATAAACCAGTTTGCAGAATTGTCATGTGCCGGGTCGACCATGCATGTTAGAATGTTTTGTATTCTTAATGTCTATTTGAACTCTTATTAATGTAAGTATTTGAGCTATTTTACAATTATTGTTTTCTCTACTAGAAATTACATCATCATTTTTACTGTGCAGGTTTCAAAACATGCCTGTACCCTTGTGGAACCCTTTCAAGGATTGCTTCAGCTGCAAAAAATAGGCCCATAAGTATGTTAAACTATTGCTAACGTCTGCATATATATCATGTACATTTTTTCTTTTCTTTTGAAAATACTGTAATGCAGAGCTGTTCTTATGAGTCATTCATTGAAATAACTATAAAGTTCCTTTAAAACATAAAATGTATTGGTTTCTTCTATGCAACTCAAAGCTTTTTAAAGTTTGTCAGACATGCCTACCAAGTTCATTAAGGAAAACAAGAAGAATCTGGCAAAGGAGATATGGACATCGTTTTTAATAATCCCAGGAATCTTATTATACCAATGCCAATATTACAATGGAACATTGGAAAAATTAAAAAATGCCTCCGAACTCTGGATTGATGCTAATAATCGTGTTGGTTGATACTGATAATCCTGATAATAAAGAAATTGACTGTCAAATCAAAATGACATTCTGAGTAAGCCATAAGTATATGAATATTGACATCAGACATTTATCAATGATTATAACTAGTATTTGATAGAATTCAGTGGTAGATATCCTAACTATCAGCATTGTCAATGCCTGATGAAATAAGTCTCCATTAACCACATTGGTCACTATCATTCCAGATTTAACTTCATCCTTTTTTACTCCTAATTGATAATACCTGAAACAACATTAATCACTCTCGCAAGCCCCTCACAATACAACCTTGACAATTGTCTGTCATCCTTGTCTCCTTATTTTGGAACTGAGTAGAACTTTTGATGTCCTTTAAACTTACTCTTGGACAAGTTGAAATTCAATTCACATCCAAGAACCATTAAAAAAAGATAACCTAGCGAGCAAAAATGAAAATGAAAAGGTGTTACAGAAAAGTCAACGTAGAACATACAAAGCTTTTCTGCACCAAAAGTTATTACACTTGCACCAAGTTGAAACAGTTCACCATGCCAGTAATATTTCTTATTTTGTTCCTTCTCAAAATTTTATTCTTTTTTTCATCCTCATTGTTTTTCACTTTTACTTTCTTCCTATTGTCTTCTTTCTCTTATTCACCCAAACGGCATCTCTGTATTATCTTTTCCAGTCACTGTTCAAAGCAAAAATCATTGCTCTTTGACCTTTTATTTATATGAATTCAAAGGCTGAAATTAAAAACAAATTAATCTAGTTTAAATCTCGATTTGAAGCTAATTCATATTTAGAGAATTTGTAATAAAAATTTCTTAGAATTTTTCAACAAAAATATAATCTTTTTATTTTCGTTTATACCAAAAAATTATTTCTTTTAAACTTTGTGCTTATCATATATAACAAAAAACAGGCGCTACAAAATTAGTAAGTATTGTGAGTTGCTCAGTAGCTTTTTTTCAATTCGATTTATACTTTTACATTGTCGTAATTTAATCTATATGTAATAATTATAATTAAACATTTGTGTTTATATATATATATATACTGATTTATATGCTCTCTTCTTCCTAATTTGAGCAATTGTCCTAGATATTTCTGATAGAAACGTGAGACTGATATTTTGCTATAATGAATTTGTTCGAGTTTGGAGTATCCTGGGTATATTGAGAAGTATCCATTTCTGTGCAGCTGCAGCAGATGCCTGTAATGACCTAATGGCTTATTCATTAGTTTTGTCGTGCTGCTGCTACACATGTTGCATCAGAAGGAAACTTCGCAAAGTTTTGAACATCACGGTAATGATTATTTATCATCCCTAATGCATGCATTATAACTCCCTCTTTCTGCATTTGAGTTCCTTTTAGTTGGTTCTATTTTTCCCTTGCCTGCATGTTTGCCTCACGTTGTTCATCAGAATTTCTTATCTGCAAAACGCAATTGCTTTATTATGAATCCAAAGAACGTTACCTTTATGTTATGAAATAACTTCATAACATGTGTTTTCCAAAGAATTTTTTTTTTGGAGAAACTAACTACAGCAGATGATATGAACTGCTACTTCAGCTTTGAATAATCATTCCATATATGCTTTAGTTTTTCTACTGTGCATTCACAATGCCTGGCTAGCTGCTGGCCAAAATATGATAAAAAATAATTTTGGAATATGGCATGTTGTTCAACCTGCAATAGTAATTCTTTTTTATAACTCACACATTCACCCACATGTGCTAGATTTTGAACTCGAGAACTTACAGTTGAAGTAAAAGCGACCAACTTCTAGGTCAGGCGGGAAGCATGAGTAATACCAGCTACTTGTTTCTTCACTTTTTCTTTTCCTTCCACTCCCCGATCTATTGAATGTGTGTTAAATTGCTAGAATGTGAGTGGTTGGCATATCATCTTCAGGGAATCTGCAAAATTTTATACATAATTCATCTGATTTGAAGTTTACCGGAAAGCATGATTCATGTATAAAGCAAGTGCATTTCTTGTTTCGAGTACTACTCAAATATAGACCAAGTATTTCTGATAAGGTCTTTATTTATTTTTGTGAAGGGAGGGTTATTTGATGACTTCCTTTCACATCTTATGTGTTGCTGTTGTGCTCTTGTTCAAGAATATCGCGAAGTGGAGATCCGAGGAGTTGATGGTATGCTAATCAGATATTTTCATTAACTGTACGCTCCACATTTTATGTCTGGTGTCTATTCTTCTATGCTACTTTATAAAGTAACACTTAGCTTCTTATTGATGAATAGCTATACGACCAAGAGAGCTATTTTTGACTTTTCTGTAATCGCTATACGCAGGCAGGAAGAAGACAAAAATAAGCCCACCATCCTTTCAATACATGGAATCCTGAGGTAACATTTGTAAAGCAAAAGCTGTCTCAGCTTTTTTATCAACTCTAAATTAAGGTATCCAACAGCTTTCTGTGGCCATCATTTAGAAGCCGCCTGTTCCTTTCAGTATTTACAAGGTTGTACATTTTAGATGGTCCCTCTGTATCATCCATTTTTTTTGTAGGGTAAAAATATAAAACCATAAGCATTGTGAGGTGGGAGTGTAAGACCATATGCATTGTCAATATATTATAGATGTAGACATCCACTTAAACAACTCCAGTTTCTGTTTGCTTGCGGCATGGATTTCTTAATTAACTCCTTTTAACCTACGGATTGATCATCGTGGACGCTTTTGGACGTCTTTTATAAAAGCTATATATCACCAGTATAGGACATTTTTTTTCGATTCTGCCCGCGATTGGGTTATATGCCATTGGAAGAATATGTGGAGATGTTCTCTCTTCTACTGCCTACCTACTACGCGCAAAAAAAAATTGTGAAATTTTGATTAAATTTTGGTTAGGATTTGCTGTGAAATTTTGAATTTTTTTTTAAGATAGTGCAATTCAAAATAAATCACTTATTCATGTATTGCATTCATCTCAATTTATATTTAATAATTTTAAATTATATTTCTACCCAACTTTAGGGTTGGAATGTCCTAACCCAATTATTATTTGTTTTACATGTCCCAAGCATACCTCAATTTAAGGGGAATAGTTGTGAAATAACAATTGAAATTTTGCTGCTTTGTACGGTTTGAGGCTGGTTGGTCTTTACTGTTCCTAGCAGCTGTGATGTCCCTAAGCATTCATTGCTCCTAATTGCTTCATTAAGTACAAACCACATCATTGTCTAAGATTTTGGACAAAATTCCTTCGCTTTGAAGTGCATTTGCATTATTATATCAAAAAATTACAAAAATTATGCAAGTATGCATCATAGATGTACAAAAGTGAGCTATATCATCTGCAAGTATGGTAGAAAGGTTCCTATCATTTATATGCTTCAAAACAAAAGAATCACTCAAGGCACTCTTAGACGGAAATGAGCGGCCCTATAACAATCTCTGAAAACATGAAAAAATAAAATTTGTTTAAAATTCAGCAAAAAAGCAAATATCTGGTGCCTCTTGAGGTCAGTGACTCCAAACCTCCTTCATAGTAGATCTCAAAAACTTCATGATGTTGCAGTTGTTCCCTTCCATGATAATGCCTTTAGATTCAAGCAATCATGGTTCACAAATCTGTTGGAGAGATTTAGTAGCCTGAAGCTCCACTTGGGCACTATTCCATTGATAACAAAGATGTTCGGTAGCAATAATACCAACACCCTGCTCGTCTCGGAGAAAGATACCCGAAGAAGGCAATCCAGGAGAAAAAAGTGAATGGTTTTGCAAAGCTAGAAAACTTGCTAAGGAATGGTATCTGGTTTTGTGAGCATTGTGGACCATTAAAACAAAATGAAGATTACTAAAGACATCCCGATAATTACTTCTGCCTCATCGAAATTGTTCCTACTGCGCATTTGGGGCCGCGGTGCAGCAGCGGTGTGACGTCCCACCGCAGTTTTTCTCATTTGGTAAATTTTTTTTTTGGCTACATTCCCAAAAAGCTATAGCTAAAAGTGATATTTTTCCATCATATATGGCTACTTTTGTTGGTTGCATGAAGTTGCAATCCGATTTTTTCAAAGAAGAAAAAAAAATTATTATAATAGTCGTAGCAACTTTTAGAACAATAATTTCTTCAGCAGTACAACTGCTTCAAACAGGCAACAACGGGATTGTTGCATAGAGTGGCCTTCAAAACTACCATCTTCCTCGTCTCGTTGTGTCATCTCACTCACTCGAGCAAGTCGCAATGTCCTTCCTCTTTGTCTTGCAAGTCGAGCGTTAGTTTTCCTCTTCGCTTGCATTGTTCGCCTGCCTCACTCATGATACAGTCGTGACTAAAGAAAGCAGGGAATGCAACAACGAGATCACGTCATACGATGACCCCCGAACTCTTGTCTTTATGTTCTTATCCACCTTCTCCTCTGATACGGTCGCGACTACGACTAGCCGAGAAAGTAAGGATGGGATCATAGTAGCGTATAGAGACCTTCAAAACTCCCATCCTTCGCTTCAGCTTCGCTTTCCACTTCAATTTTCTTTTTCATAAGCCTGCTCGAGCCTCCCTTCTCTTTCATGACTGATTTTTGTGATACAATCACAATTACAAGAAGCAAGAAAAACAACAATGGGATCGCATCATACAGACCTTCGACACCTCTCCGTGTCTCCTCATGCTCCCTCGACTCAGATGTCTGAAACATATGCTAGTTTTACTCAATCACTTTCCTGTTCTCTGCTTCGCAGCACACGAAGAGATCTCAACATATAAGGCCTTCAAAATTCACATCTTTATCCTCCCTCTATGCCACAACCTGAGGTCACGTTAACCGCTCTATTTTTCCCTGTGTTTGCTCAATTTAGAACCTACACCCGAATCCTCCCCACTCTCATAGCCACGGTTTAAGATAGAATAGTAAAAAAACAGATGCAGAATCAGAGAGAAGAAGAAGATGAGAAATCAATGAATGCTACTTCAAAATATAAAATAATTCCATTACAACTGACTACATACTTTGATACACAACATGTATATATAAAAGGGAAAGATCAGGAATCATATTGAGCGGTTGAGATCAATTTAGGGAGTTAATAGTCTTGCGGTAGGGATTGAAAGTTGTAGTTTAGTGTGGTGTGTTTCAGGTGCATCTTTATCATAATTGAAAGCTGATGACAAGTTCAAAGATAGTTAGCTTGTCTCGGAGCTTGTGAAATATTGGTGTTGGCTTTGGTCAAGATGTCAGCTAATTGTTCTTTAGTTGGAATGTACTCGAGAGAGTTCCATGGATAAAATGTGTTCACGAATGAAGTGGTAATCGATCTCTATGTGCTTCGTTCATTGATAGAATATCAAATTGTGAAAGGGCCTCATGGCCGATATGCAGGATATGATAGTCGGTTGAGTGGTAGAGATCTGAAAATCTTGCGAGAGGCGGCGGAGCCAAATGACCATCGATGGTGCCAAAGACAAAGCACGGTACTTGGCTTTGGTGGAAGAGCGAGCTACTGTGAGTTGCTTTTTAACATACCATGAGATCAAATTGGGGGAAAAAATGAGCAGTTTCCTGTTATTGATCAATGGTTGAGATATTTGTTGGGCCAACTGGAATCAGAATGTGTGTAAGGTGAGGGGACCTTGCCATTGAGGAAGACCAAGCGTGAGAATGCCTTTGAGATAGCGGAGCAGCCGCTGAGCTGCTAGTAGTGAATCAATAGTGGATTGTGGTAATGCTGAGAGAGGATATTGACAATAAATTAAATGTCATACCTGGTTATTGTAAGGTATTGTATAAAGCCAACTAGGTGATTCAATTGAGCAGGATTGGGATAGGGCACTTACAGTTCGGTAGACAACTTGGAGGCAACAGAAAGAGGGTTGTGTTGTGGTTTGCAATCAGTCATATTTGCCCTGTTTAATATTTCGATAGTGTAGGTGGCTTGAGAGGTAGAATCCATATGTAGTATGCTGAATTTGAATATCCAAAAATGTGGAAACCGGGCCCAAGAGCTTCATAGAGAGAGCATTATGTAGGTCGTGAATGAGATTTTCCATAATAATTTGATGGTTTCCTATCAGAAGAATATCATCCATGTATAGAAGAAGGTAAATTAGGCGAGAATTGTGATTGTAGATGAGTGAGAATGAGTAAGCTTGGCTCGGTTGAAACCCAAAATGCATTAGACGAGTAGAAAATGTGTGGAGCCTTTGGCAAGCTGCTTGTTTAAGGCTGTAGAGAGATTTTTGAAGGTGACACGCATGATTTGAATAGGATGGATTAGCATATCCCGGTGGTTGACTCATAATATGGTTTTGTTGAGTTTGCCATAGAGGAAAGCATTGGACACATCCATTTGAAGGACTTGCCATTGATGATGGTGAGAAACATTGAGGAAGACCCAAATGGTAGGTAACTTTGCCATGGAATTGAAAGTTTCGGTGTAGTTTAAGCCATATTCTCATTGAAAATCTTAAGCTACAAGCCATGCCTTGTATCGTGCAATTGTACCAGCAGACTTTCATTTGATTTTGAAGGTCCATTTTTTTCCTAAATTGGTTGATCGGCAGAAGGAGAGACAAGAACCAAAGTGTTTTGAGATTTGAGTTCTTTGAGTTTTTTAGCCATAACTTGTTGCCAGTTGGGATAGCGGGTTGCTTGCTTGTAGGTTAGAGGTTCGATTTCGGGAATAGAGAGATTATAAGATCAAAGATCCTTTTAGGTGGAATGGAGCTGGTTTTGGATCTTGTGATCATGGGATGTGATAGGTGAATTTGAAGGAGGGTTATATATTAGGTGTAGGTTCGACTGGCTATATTGGTGTGGAGTGTGGGCTTGAAGGTGGAAATTAGGTCTGTCTGTAGTGGTAGTTTTTTGAGGGTAGTATTACGGGATTTGAGGTGAATATAAGGGTAAATGGTAGAGAATCTGAATGTGAGGATGAGGGGGCGCACTCCAACATCCAGTCGACCAAAGCTAAATTTTGGAGAGTTTGAATAAGATCAAAATAAGTTCATCAAACATTTCCGGTGTGCGGTGAGTATAAAAGATGGAAGCTAGATACACCTCAACCCAGATTTACTAACTTAGCAGATTGGCAATTGTAAGAATGTCAATTGATCTAATCACATTGTGTTGCTGCTATGTGGGGCGTACTCCAACTTCCACTGAATTTGAAGAGGGTTCAAATACATGGATACGATGAGCGTACTCCAACATGCAATGGACTAAAGTCCAATTTTGGAGAGTTTGCATATGATCACACTAAGTTCATCGAACCTTTCCGGTGCGCGGTGAGTATACAAGATGAAAGTTAGACATACCTCAACTCAAGTTTACTAGCTCTGCGGATTGACAAGGTCAATCAACATAATCATATTGTGTTGGTGCCACATAAGGCGTACTCCAACTTCCATTTAACCTGATATTGGGGGAATGAACACTCGTTGAATGTAACATGACTGGATATATGTAGAAGAGTAGATACAAAATTGGAGAAAAGCAGAAGATGAGCAACTGGAGAATGTTTTTTCATTATATGAATTAATTCTATTAGAACCTACTAAATACATTGAATAGTTGAGATCAACTCAGCGAGTAGAGTTCCGCAGTAGGGATTGAAGGTTGTAAAGTGTAGTGGTGTGGTGTGTTGTAGACATCGAAGCCACAAAAATTCCACAAACTTTCTCTCCCATTCCCTCTAATTGAGAAAACCAAAAAAA